CTAGTAGGATCCCAGGTGATGTTTTTCTGGGGACCACCCTTTGAAAACAATTGTGCTAAGCTCATGACATGCATCTGCTCATAGCATACCAATGGTTAGAATCATTCAGGATAGTAGTTGGCACCCGAGGTTGAGGTATTCCTGCTACATAGCTATGTTCCTTTAAAGGAAACTTGGTTTTGACTTTAGGCAAAGTTCTTGTTTTATTGCCTCTTTTTTAGAAAAAAAATAATGCGTTTTCTCGACCATTGCAGAAGTTTGAAGAACTGTTGCAATAATAGGCAAAATATCAGGAAATTTCTCATTAAACAGTTGCTCTTGTATGTCACTTTCTCCTTGAGGGTCCTAGGAGGTAGAACGGTAGTTGTTAAAGTGTGTTGCCAAACTGGCAGCAGCATCCTGTAGACTATCGGGCCCCACCTTATACCACTTACCTCTGAAACACGGGCATAGGAATCTGTTTGAACAGGCCTCCAGGGGAGTCCTGAGGAACACTGCAGTTCAAGCACATCTGAGGTTGAGGATAGTGACAGTTAGGCTGAGTCTGAGCAAGGGCCCCTGGCATTCACTATTCCCAGCCCCTTTCAGATAGTTCACCATGATGACGAAGCTTCAGTTTTCCCATCTCATCAGTCAGAAGTCTATCCCTTGTTGTTCAACACCTTTCAGAGTGGTGGGGAAAGACAATCATGACTTTTATCCATGACATGTTGTTTTGTTTTGTTTAAATATTTTATTTATTTATTCATGAGAGACACACAGAGAGCCAGAGACATAAGCAGGAGAAGCAGGCTCCATGCAGGGAGCCTGATGTGGGACTCGATCCTGGGACTCCAGGATCATGCCCTGAGCCGAAGGCAGACACTCAACCACTGAGCCATTCAGGGGTCCCAACCCATGACATAGTTTTACTAGCAAAGATAAAAATTCCTAGCTAACCATGAAATAGCACCATTCAATGGGAAAAAGATAGGATTCAGGTTATTTGTGTTCTAATCAAGTGTCCACCCTACATACAGCTATGTGACTTTCAGTTGATAATTAGCCTGTCTGAACCTCATTTTCATTACCTGAAAAATGAGATTGAAATGTCCTGATCTAACCTGAATAACTGTTGCAACGATTAAATGGAATAATAGGTATGAATGTGACTTTGCAAAGTGTAAAGTGCTGTAATTAGGAATGCTCACTCATAGGTTTGTTCTTCCCCAACAGTAAAATGGGGTTAGTGCTCTAAGACTCCCAGAAATCATGAGTAGTTGAGAAACTAATGGCACACATCTTGTTTGCCATTGGCAAACAAGAGAAGTTTGAATTCTTCTCAAGCAAAGCTTATTTCTTCATGTTTTGGGTGTATAACATATAAGGTTGAAAGATGTAGAGATATTATATTCTTATGTATTTTATTAGAGTGCATCTATGTAATACTACATGATAATACTTTTATTTGAACTAGTCACATCCTAGAGCAGTGGTTTAGATATTGTGGCTCCAGGCCAGTAGCACTAGCGTCCCCTGGCAACTTATTTGAAATGTACATTTTCAGTCATCACTGCTGAATCACCCACCAACTGGGTGAGGCCAAATGCTCTGTTTTATAACAAGCCCTGCAAGTGGTCCTGATGCTCACTTAAGTCTTAAAGGAAGGCATTTATCAGGGTCTCTTTTATTTTTAATGATTTTATTTATTTATTTGAGAGACAGATCAGGAGGGAAAAGGAGAGCACTAGCAGGGGGAGAAGCAGAGGGGATGGGAGAGAATCGCAGGCAGACTCCATGCTGAGCGTGGACACCGACTCAGGGCTTAGTCTCACTACTGAGATCACGACCTGAGCCGAAACCAAGAGTCAGTCACTCAACCCACTGAGCCACCCAGGGGCCCCTATTAAGATCTTAATTGAAGGGTCTGGCCAACAGCATGCTTTTCATGAAACAGACTGATTGCTTCTCTTTTTCTGTGTCATGGATCTGCAACAACTGCACCCAAGCTGAGGCAGCCATAATTGGATTCCTTCATAAACACGCTGTCGCTGCCCACCCAGCCTAGTAGAGATCTGGAATGCCGCTCCAGTGCATCCGTTATGAGGCTGACTTCAGGGTGTGAGGAAATTAAAGCTATTTATCACAGACCATTTTCCCTCAATGACAGGAGAAATGAGCCTTAGCCTAACAAGGCTTCAAATTGGGCCCACGTACAAAAAACACATAGCTTGATGAACACAGTTTGAGCAGGCTTATGTTTCTTTTGACTTTTCCTTTTGAAAATGGACTCTCTTCTGAGCTGCACCAAGACACTGGTGCTTGTTTAAGAAACACTGGAGGTGGATTCAACCTGGTTTGTCTCATGACGTAGCTATAAGTGGCATGATGGCACTTTCCCATGACCATTTCTTCCCTTCCTCTCTCTCCTGGGAAGGGATCCTTGGTAAGAGAGGGAATCATTCCTCTGAGACTGAGACTGTGCATAAGGAGCCATGTTATGGGGGGGGGGAGCTTGGTATTTATCAAGAGAACGATTTATCTGTATGATTTGGCCCACTGCCTTCTTGCCCATTTGAGATGGGTACAGTATGGATTTTGAGAAGTGATTCTATTTTTTTTCGTGTGTGTGTGTGTATAATTAAACTTGGTATGTATTTGTGATTATCTAATATATTTCTTCCTGGTGTTGTGCATTACAGGCAAAACATATACAGAGATTTATGTCACATGTTAATAACCGACATCTCTTTGATGCCTACCTACCATGTACACAGTGCTTTGCTTCCATTATACTAATTAATGTTCACAATAGTTCTAAGAAATGGTTACCATTATCTCCATTTTATAGATGAGAAAACTGAAGTGCAGGAAGTTTAAGAACCGATATTAGAGCTTCGATTTAAATGTAGGTCTTTTGGATTCCAAAGCCAGCATTCTCAACCAGTGTTTTTCAAATTATGTGTTGAGAAATCAGCTTAACAAGTTGCAACTAGCAATGTAAAAAAAAATTGAATCAAATGTGAAAGACCAGAATGTGTCATATTTAGTGTGGGTAAATCTTGATGCATGAAACTTTCATTTCAACTATAAATATATTTGTATTCATACACAAATATAAGCACATTTCTGTGTACTGGGCAACAATGTAAATAATATTTCTTGCTGTGTCACAGTCAAATATGAAAGCAAATATTCTGGCCTAAAGGAGGAGGTAGAGGGGTAGAGGGAAAGAGGGAAAAATAGAGAATAAGTAAATGAGACAAAGAGGCTTAGGAGAGGAAGAAGAAATAGGAAGAAGTGGGAAGAGGGGGAGAGAATGGACAGATCTGTGAAAGAGACATAGAGATGCAGGGAGAAGGGGAGAAAGAGGAAAAGAGGCAGGAAGTCATGAGGCCCTGTCCACCATTCCATTCAGTGAGCAGATGCACCTACTTGAGGACAAAACTAGAGACTTGAATTGTGTTCTTGGTAGATGTTAGTTTTCATATACTTCTCTCGTTGTGATCCTTGAGCCATTCTGAGTGTGAGTTGAATAAAAATTTTTACAAAATGTGGCCCCTATATACAAATAATCTATTTCATCTGCTGCTCAACTGAAAATCTGAAGGGAAAATGGGCTTTGTTGGAATTACAAAAATGCACAGTATGCCCCTTCCTAAGGCAGTTTTGAGTATATGGTGTTTTTGTCGTTTAAGCTAATTTTGATGCCATGGCACTGCCTCTTGTGTTTTGTGGGAAACCATAGATAGCAAAATTTTAAAGTAGCCCACTAAATATCTTACTTCCAAAGGATTCTGGAATCAGTTAATGAAAAGTCCATTTTTACAGATGTGGAAATTGAGTGAACATTTTATAGTTTCTCTATATACAATGCTTTCATGAGAATCCTATTACTGAATCTTCATAGCTACCCTGCTAGGTCACCCTTATGTCAGTTTTACCGGAGAAATTGGAGCTCAGCAAACTCAAATCCTTTGCCTCAGTTCTCTAAAAGGTGGCAGAGCTTAGATTCAAACCTAGTTTTCTCTGACCCCCAGTTCCGTATTTGCCCCCCAAAAATACAGAGTGGCAATAGTGGGATATAAAGTAGTGCTGTTTGTTATAATTTAGAAGAATTATTTTTGCTTATAAATCAGAGTATGGTGCAAAGCTCATGGTTTTAATGTGGTGGGTTGTCACTCTGTGATTCACTCCTCCTCACCAGGGTGTTTCCCTATTTTAAGCCTTCATTAATAAATTGGGGTTGATATCACTATGTTTGTTTTTTTCTGATCCATTCTTGGCCTTTCTTGGTTGAAAACCATTATAAACACCAATTATATTTTTAGTAATAACATTGTATCAAATAACTTAGGTAGCCACTTCTTGGCATCAACTTAAGTGGGTTTCTTTCCTTTTTTAAAAAAAAATAAATGCTCCATATAGATGTAAACAGGGTCCTAGAGTGAACTCCATCTCAAAAGCTTTCATAGCCTGTTAGAAAAGAACCATAATGTTTTCCTCAGCTTGCCCAAATGCCATTGCTATATAGCCTATCCATCTTGCCTGGTCTCACCACTAATATTTTCTTTAAAAAAGAAACAGCCAGAAAAAGTGCTGACAGAGTTCCAATCCAACTACCTCTGCTAAAGTTTTATGTGGGTGTGTAATAGGGTCCTGCAGCCAACGCATCTCATCCAGCTCTTGCTCCTAAATCCCCTCATTTATAATAAGAATTCATGCCTCTGAATGTAAAGACTTGAAAGGAGATCATTTCTTCTTGTTTCATGGTTTTATTCTTCCACTTTCAAAATATGGTTGCAAGTAGTCATCCCTTCTTTCCTCTACTGGTTTAATTTTGCTGAGTATTTATTACAGTCAACCAGATACTTTGAGGAAGCTAAAATTCAGGTCTACACTCCATGAAAGCTATGTCAGTGCAAACATAATATATATCTCTGGGAAAATGTGGGGGATCCTAGACATATTATAATTTTAGTGACTAGTAGGGTCTGATTGTTGTCTATTCTTTATTTCAGAGATCCCAGAAGACCCGCTTGTGGCTGAAGAGTATTATGCTGATGCGTTTGATTCCTGTTCTGAAGAAAGTGAGGAGGAGGAAGAAGAAATAATGTTCTCAGCACTGGAGGAAGAGGTCAAGGACGAGGCGCCCCAGCCTGCTCACAGAATATTCCAACAGGTAGATGCTGCTCCCCAGCAGATGTAGTGGAACTGTCCGAGGTCCTGATTTGCTTGTGACTTCCCAGAAAGTCAGGGAAGTCTTAGAACTTAAGTGGGAAGTGCGGGACTAGGGTTTCTTATAAAGGCCCCATGTAATGGGTCTTTATTTCCAAGGTCCAGAGGCAGGCAGGGCCCCATGGAGTTCTGATATTCTGGTGTGGACCATGTTGATGAGGGAAGGACTGGAATACCCAGTACTTATCCAAGTGGGAAGATGATCCATACTACACTGTGGAACATCCTATATACAGCTGTTAAATAAAGAATTCCAGTGTCTCTTTAGGAGAGAGAAGGGGATTTTAAAAAATATACTTTTCTGCCTGGTAATCAGCTTTTTGAATCATGTCCTAGTGCACAAATTAGTTCTGGGGATGAGGCCCAGAGATCCTGGGCTTAGGAGGTGATCTTTCCAGCCACTCTCAGCCCTTGTGGGTCCATCCTTACATAGTGCTTACATATGTCCTTGCTATAGATCTCTTTAACAATAGCAAAACCAAACCCTGTCTGGGTCCTAGTCTAAGAAACAGTCCTGGCATGTGATTTCTCTGTTGAGTGTCTATAGGAGAGGAAAAAAGCAAGAGGTATGTAAGGAGAAAGCAGATTACTTTGGGCAATTTATGCTCATAAAATTAATTTTCTTCGTAGGCCATAATATGGTAACCTTTCCATTTCTAAACTTTCTAAAGTTACAAAAGCTTTTTAATTAACTGGGAACCATTAAGCTGGGAAAATACAAGTCAATCAAGGGGTACCTGTGTCAATGGAAACTTCATTCAGGAGGACTAATTGAAGTTTGTATACAATCTAGTCAACAATTTTTAATGAAGACTAAACAATACATCATAAGAGTCAATAAATAAAACTGATAATATATATTCTCAGATTCTGTATAAGAAAAGGAGAGAGAAAAAAAAGAAAAGGAGAGGGAGGCAAGGAGAAGGGAACTAGAAGGGTATGGATATGAGACTAAGAAGCAAAAATGATGAGAGAAAAGGAGAAAGAAATTAAGAGACAAATACACGAAGAGAGAGCAAATAAATGTTGAGAAAAATACAGTCAAGGCAGAGAGTGATTCAGCATGTCAAAATAAAAATGCTCTCCTTATACCATTTCCCCATTTTCCAATGGACTTGGATGAACAACAGCACCTCCTACGACACATTAAAAATATAATTTCCATTTCCTTCTCTGTTACTGTTCTAAATAACTGAGACAAATATTTTTAAAGTTTTATTTATTTAAGTAATTTCTATACCCAACATGGACCTCAAATTAACAACCCCGAGACCAAGAATCACGCCATGCTCTTCTGACTAAGCCAGCCAGGCACCCCATAGACAACTACAATACTACAGAACCATTATTCTGTGCCTATGGTTGCAAAACACATCCATTTTTGCCCAGAGCATCAAGTGGCAAAATTTGAGCTACTAGTATTACTACTTTTTTATTTTTTAATGGATTAAAACTGATTCAGAAAACCACATGAATAAAATATACAGCAAATGCCACTCAGGTCAGGAAATAGAACTTTGCTAGCCACTTTGGAAGTCCCATCTTCAGTATACTTGTAGGAACACAGGGTTGGAAATCAAAATGCCTGTGTACAAGACTAGCCTTTGTTACTTGCAGGTTCTGTGACCTTGTGCAAGTTACTAAATTTCACTGTGCCTCACTTCTCTAATCTGTAAAATCGGAGAATAATGGTTCCCACCTCCCAGTCTGGAGATTAAATGAAGTAATCAATGTAAGGTGTTTAAAATACTGTCTAGAATTTAATAAAGTAATTAATAATGAGTTATTAATTATTATTATGATGATGATGTTACCCAGCCATCTTGTGGGGTTTTAAAAAAGATTTATTTATGTATTTTAGAGAGAGCACACACATGAGCTAGGGAAGGGGAAGAGTGTGAAGGAGAGAGAATCTCAAGCAAACTCCCTGCTGAGCGCAGAGCCCTATGCAGTGCTCCCTCTCACGACCCTGAGATAATGACTTGAGTCAAAACCAAGAGTCAGATGCTCCACTGACTGAACCACCCAGGCATCCTATTTTGTGTGTGTGTGTGTGTGTGTGTGTGTGTTTTATAATGCTACTTTCCAAACTCTTTAATGTTACTGTGAGGTTTCAGAACTATAGTATAAAAAAAATCCCTCCTTTTTATTTCTTAGGGCCAATGATAAATATAGGACAGCAGTTTTACTCTCTGAGTTGTGCATCTGTCACATGTGATATGATAGCTGAAATTTTCTCTACACAGCAAAGTGTTAGAAAAAGCAGAGTGATCTTTTTGGAATTGTGCCGCAGGGGCAGAGAAATGGATACAGGCTATGCTTTGTGAATTGGTTTAAATCTTTTAGGACAAGATGCTGAGGCTTCTCACATCCATGTTGGTATTTTGTCTCACAAAACCCTGTCAGGTAGTTATTCTTATTTCTATTTTCCAGATGAGGAAACTGAGTCTCCACGAGAAGTAGGTTGCCAGTGGCCACGCAGCTAGGAAAGGCTCAGAACCATGCACAGGCCAAGGTTTATCACATTCTCAAGCCAGTTTTCTTTCTAGTACAAAAGGTGTATCAACCTAGAGTGGACTTGGCATAATAGAAACAGGAGTGGAAATCTCAATTGAGTAATAGAGAGAGGTTAACTACAATCCCATTTGTTTTTCCTAGTAATTTGATATCATTTCCCCCTCCCTAAAGGCAGTGAATGTGTGGTTGTGATGAGTTTCTGCTCTTCCCTTCCTAGGTTATTTTATTAGTGACACACAAAATTGTAGTTACAGAACTCCATGCCAAGACCCAGTCTGTCAGCTTTGTGAATTGGGTGAAACCTTCAGCCATCACTGGGGTCTTCCTCTTCTTCCCTCTTCCCAGTCTCACCCTTGACCCAAGCGTGTCCAGGGTCTACTTGAGTTATCACTGTGTCAATGGCTTTTATGTGAATAATCAGATCAAAGTTACACAGTTTGTGTTTAATGAAAGAAAAACAGTCTTTCATCAAACAGTCCAATGGGTTTCATTGGGATTGATTGCTGAGTCCCTTGTACCCACCCATGACAATCTTCAGCAGTAGCATCTCCAAAGTGATTTTATTAAGCACCTAATTGCTGTTGATAGTATGTTGCTTCTCTGCTGGGTTAAGCATCAACAACAACTTTATCACAAGCCATTATCATATTGTTGATAGCTACTCTATGAAGTCTCTGGTCACTGAATTGGAACCAGCCTCTTAGATCTCAGGAGAATGGAGTTTATAGCTGTCATCATAACAGGGTTTTCAACAGTATTTGTGGGACTTGTCACTGAAAACTTTTTTTGCTCTAATGGACATGCTTTAGGGCTGCTGTTTAATGAGTATGTTCAGAGACCCTTATGTTTTTCCCTTGCTGCCTTGACCATCATTTCCCTCTGCAAGACTAATCAGTGTCCTGTGTGCACCAGGTATACACACGCTAGGTAGACCATAATGACTTCACACAAAACTCCTTCGGAAAAGGCTCTGTTGTTTAATGATTGTGGCTTGCATCAATCCTTGTTTTAAGAAGGCTCTTAGGACCATGGTGTTTGTTCTTGCCATGACGAAGGGCTATGGAAGCCCATTTTACCAACTAATTCTGAAGCTTTCACCAAATCCTCTAGTGGTTTTGAAATTCTCTGCATAGTGAAGCATGAGGTAAAGCAGAATGATCTTCTTGGAATGGAGCCACAGAAGCAGAGAAAAGGATATAGGCTAGAGAAGACCTAAGAATCTACCGAGGACTCTTAGATCAGGTCATCATGAGAATATATGCCTTTGAGTGTCTTCTGTTAGTAGAATCATTAATTTAATCAAATCCTAATTGTTATAACAATAACAACTAATGTCCCTGAACCTTTATTCTATGCCATGTACTTTTATATACTGTGTCAGTCTAGGTCCTCTGGGAAGCAGATGACAAGACAGAATTGGGGAAAGCCTCAAACCACGATGCTGGTCTACATCTTGAGGGCAAGGATGGAGGGAGAGGGAGGACTAGATGACATCCTCAGGTGAAGGGCAGCTCTAAAAAAGTCTTCACAGCTCTGGTAAGAGAGCCCCAGGGCAAAAACTGCCTTGCCCATCAGAGGAGATCAGACTGGGCAGGAATGGCCTAGCTCTAGTATCCCCACATTCCACCTGGCTGGGTGCTTCCAGGGATGAGCCAATCCTGAGGGGGCAGCAGGTGGGGGTAGTCACCTACACTGGCAGCAGGCTGGCTCTTGAAGAGAAATGTAAATGGTGCACCCCCGGCTATTGGCACTTTCGTTTAATTCTTACAAGTTGGCCCTTTGATGCACATATTCTAGTTGAACTACATCAAGCTGGAATTTAACTGACTGGACTCAAACAGGAGAGAAGGTGAGAGTGAGGAAGGGCAGAGAAGGGCCAAGAGAAAGGAAGAAAGTGTAAGTTAGTGATTTCAGGTCAGTTCTGCCTAACATTTTACCAAAAGGCGGATGTCCCAGATAGAGAAAGAGCCAAAAGCTGTAAATCCAGAATCCTGCACTACCTCTCAGGGCTCATGTGTCTCTCAGATTGAGAACCTCTTGGTGCTTTGAACTATTGCCCTAGACTTATATTATTTAAAACTACATGTTCTTCATACAATGCAGTTCCTAAGTGCAAGTCAGTTCTTTCATTTGGTGCTCAAAAGGAAACAGCATATTTTGTCTATCATTAGTTACTGTATTAAGCACTGACTTTAAAACTCAGGTCCCTTGAAAGATGAGACTGTTGTGATCTCCTCACTTTGCACAAGAAGAAACTGAGGCTCAGTGAAGGGAACACAAGTAGCCACACAGCTAGCAAGTAGCAGAACTGCAGATCTGACACCTCTTTTAGCCACTTCTTTGTACAGTATTTTCCTGGCACAACAGCTTAACTATAGCAATTATAATCCCTCCTCCATGATGATTGGGTAAACACATTAGATGCCA